GATAGATAGATAGATAGATAGATAGATGATAGATAGATAGATAGATAGATAGATGATAGATAGATAGATAGATAGATAGATGATAGATAGATAGATAGATAGATAGATGATAGATAGATAGATAGATAGATAGATGATAGATAGATAGATAGATAGATAGATAGATAGATAGATAGATAGATAGATAGATAGGGAAGACTTTTTTTTATTGCCCACTGGGGGTCATAGTTTACCAACTTTTTCCAAATACAGCTACCGCGGAACACTGCCAAAAACACCTTAATGTTATTTGGTTTCATTTTGTTTGTAGAATGTGGTAAGGAAAAAATCAGTTTCTTTTTAAGCTTCTTTTATTCTAAAGGGAGTCTACTGGGTGGACACTTTAGTTTCCTACACTTCCAAAGATGGAAGTTTGTTCCTTAATATTACACATCTAGTTTCTTCAGCAACAGAGCTGGGCCGGGTGTACCGACGAAACATGCTATACCTATCAGATTGTGCTACCAACAATATATTTACATTGTTTTAAGGGTAAGTTTAGGGTAAGGGTAGGTGTGGACGGGTAGGGGTAGGTATGGACATTAAAAAAAGCCTCAAACCACATGAATAAGATGCTGGTAGCACAATCTGATAGGCAGCATTGGTAGCACATATCGTCAGAACACCGGTACCGGTGCGTGTGCTCGCGGCCTGTGGGAGGTCCAGAATAACGGAGCCAGAGATCATCATCACCATCATCATCCTCCTCATCCTCATCCCGGAGGAGAGGCCCAGTGAATACATGCCCGACACGACACGCCTCATCCGGAGCGGAAAAGTGGGTTTACGTGTCTGACTCTGATCTCAAGCGTGTGCTGTGTGCGATCCAGAGGTTCGGCTGCGTGACTCCAGAAACATGCGCGTGTGTAACTGAAGCGCATGCATCCGATCAGGACACCGACCCTCGGAACCGAGTCAAGCCGTGGAGCAGACGACCCAGAGCTCTCGGGTTCACCGATCATCTCCGTCCGCTACATGTGACCGAACCGAACCGAACCGTCCGAGCCCATCTGCAGCTTCACCAGCGGGCTGCGCGTTAGCACGGTGAGAAAACACCTTCACGTGAAGATTAGAGCATTAATAATATGAGATCGTTTCAGATCATCGATGTCATTTGAACCGTCGAAGCGTTTTCGTAGATCTGGATCGCTGTTCTGATCCGGTTCGTCAATGGTGGGTAACGTTAACGGATCCGTCAAGGACTTTAGTCCAAATCTCATTAAATCACCGAATCAGCCAGACACCGGCCACTTTGTATGAAGGACAGACAGTCGGGGATTATATAAATATAAAAAAAGTACAACTAATGAAACAACCACTCAAACAAAGAGATCATTTGAAGAATAAATAATCATATAATGAAGTGACCGTTAAACTGAGCGTTAGCTTAGCATGCTAGCACAGCAGCGCAAGCGCAGACACTTTCTGCTTTAATTACCAACAGTAATGGTATATATTATCATGTTTTATTTATTCATTTATATGTCTGTTTGAATTGTTAGAAAATTATGCACGTTTTGATATAAATTGGAAGTGCTGTTTAAGCAGCAGTTAAAACTCTATGTAGCATGTTAGCCGCGTTAGCGCTCTGTTCAACACTTCATTTTAAACATTTCACCTTCATTCAAAGGGTTTTTACTCTAATTGTCCTTAAAATAAATGAATGAAAGCCATGCAGACTCAAATAACTGAATTGAAGTGTGTTACACTTAATCAGGTTCTGTGTGTCCTATCAAACGTTACGTTTATTGTTATGATAAATATCATAGTTATGAATAATTTTATGTTATGAATAATTGTACTCTCCATCATTCTTATCGTTATTATTTTGTACAGGTTATTTTTTATATCATACATTCACCTAAGACAAATATAGGATTAAGCATGGTATTGTTGGTTTCTTTTGTTAACCTGAAGTAGCTCCTCCTCAACATGCTTATCAGGAAAGACACTATTTAATTTGAACCAAAGTTTTTCTTTGTTTGTTTAGCTTGAACCATAGATATCAAAGTCTAACGGGCTTAAAGGGTGTCAGTATGAACCGGCGCATTTATATCAGTGGTTACTTGAGTGTCTGTGAGTAAATCAGTTCACAGGCGTAAGCTGCATCTCTATACATTGAGTCTATTTTTTGTTGTCACCTCCATGCCTTGCGTTCACTGGCTTGATTTAAGCATGCATCACATCAGCTAAAGTGTTGAGATTTAATTTTCTTTTTTTCTTTTTTTGCAGGCAGGACAGTACAGTATGGCTCCCCATCTGGACACGGCCCGCAAATTGTTCTGGATCTTAATGAAGTCGCTGCTCCGTTTCACCTTCATGTTTGTTAATAACTGTGTGGCGATCCCGTCATACTGCCTCTACCTGATAGTCCTGCAGCCTTTAAGACTTCTAGATGCCCCCACGTTCTGGTACATCGAAGGGGTCATGTTCAGGTGGTTACTGGCGATGGTGGCGTCTTGGGGCTGGTGTGTGGGTTACACGGGTAAGACCAGCTTTTCCTCTCTTTTCTGACTTTCTAAATGCCAGTGAAAGGCCCTAAATGTACAATTTTACTGCAGGACTGTGTAAAACGACCTTTTTCAAGTAAGCCACACAGGGCACTAGACTTCAGTCAGCATCTCTAGTATATCATCTTGTGGCGCCAAAATTTGGCTGCTGAGTGCAGATCTATTGCCTTTTTTAATCTTTATTGACTCTTACACTCTAGGGTTTCCTGTTTTTGATTGATTTCTTTATTTTCATTGGGAAACAAGTTTGATTAAGTTACACTGTGTGTTTTTTTTGCTTTAATAGAGTGTATTTGGCCAATATTATACACTGGGAACCTCATGGGAGGTCTTTGTTTACCTCACTTCTCTCTTGACGAATCCACATCATCATTCATTAGAGACTGGAAGTGTTGCCCGTATTGCTTTATGTGTAGTTTGTTACAAGTATCGATTTGAATTGGACTTTTTCATTAGAAAGAGATTTTGGAATGAGATTAGAAGCCGATTTGAATTTATGGCTAGTTGGATCTACGAGAGGTGAAACGCTGTCTGCTTACTCACGAGCATTTCATGGGTAATTTCATTTGTTGCATGCTGGTACTAAGAGTAACCAGGGTGTTGATTGTACGGAGAAAGCTTGAGACTGATTATGTGGACCATGAGATGGAAGTACAAGGGCTGGGACAGTCAGACGATCGTGAAGACAGATAAGACGATTTGTCAGCTTTTTACAAGATAACAGATAAAGGTAGTTCACGTGACATTTAGCTATGTTCGACATTTTGACATACTGTATTTATTCAAAATGTATTTTAATCAATTTTCTCATATGTGCAGATTTTATGAGCTCGTAATTGTTTAGAGACTAATAGAAATATTTGTATTTTAAAAGGTAAAATGTTATTTTAAAAAATGGTGTGAAGCCTATAAAGATATAGTGACCAGTTTTTATGGCTAGGTGATATACCTATACACCTTCGCGCTCGTGCTGACGCGGCGAGTATAAACCAGGCTCTACACTCTAAGCGCTGCGCAGTTCAAACGAGTAGCGCGGTTTCGTTATGCTTTCAGTTTCGTTTGCCATTTGATGTTTCACATATGCAACAGAAATGGCAGCGCTTATGAGTTAAACAACGCGGTGCTCGGTAGTGCGACTGCTCACAAAATTAGTCGCAGAAAAAATGGTGGCAGTCTGGAGCCCTGAAACAGCTGTATTTGTCTACCTATATTATTAAAAATACATACGTGCATTAAGAATTCAATGCAGACACTTTTTTGAGTGAGAAAACAAATTAAGTTTGGAATAGAACTATTTTGAACTGTCTCACAGAAAAGAATCAAACTGGCCCAATCAAACACTGTTTTTGCAACTGAAATTTAAATCTGTAATATTATAGGCCTATATCAGAGATTTCCCGTAAGCAGGTCTCTTTGATGTACTCTGAAAAGCCATGAATTGAACTTGGCTTCATGCTGCATTGGAGTACCAGTATTTTGAAAATTAGATTAGTGTTTAATAGATGCTTAATTGAATTGGCTCATTGTTTATATGTTTGATGATGATCAAAATTTGGATTTCTTAAACTGAAGTGATGGTTAGACAGGCTTCCCTTTCACATTCACAGTTGGAGTTTATTTTTTTGTCATTATGTTTAACAAATTTAAGACAAATTTCCTTCATTATTTGTTGTCATGTTTGGAGTATGTTTGGCATGCTTTAATTATACTGTTGAATCTGGTAGTAGAAGATTATTTTTGAGTACAAGAGCGCACCAAATCAAAATCGGTTTTATTTGAATTTGTCTTCTCACAGGAACAGCGTGAGAATTGCCTACAGTTTTGGGTTAATGCTAAATGCTCACAAATTGGGATGAGAAGTGTTTGGAAAGCAACAAGAGTGTTAAATAATTAATGGTGGTTTTCCTTTTGAAAACCTGCTCCTGTGTAGCTGAGTTGGGAGTCTCGTGGACAGCGTCTTTAGTTTAGAGGCTGTTCTTGAACCCTAAAAGGAAAAAACAGGAAAATATGGTATTTTATCTAAACTATTGATGATAAAAAGGGTGCAAATTATCATGTTTGTCAGTCAAGGTTAATGTCGCTTGTCGTGATTTCTCACCAGGTTAGAATTTTACACAAGATGCCTCACCATGCTGATAAGAGGCTGACCTGATGAAGCAGGTGGAGATAAATGTGTGTGGTAGAGGTCCAATCTGTGTGTCATTTACCTGCTCGACTGCTTCCTGTTAAAGAGAGCACAAAGATCAGATCTCACGTGCCTTGAAGGAACACGTCACTCAAAAACTAATATTTAGTAATTATTTAGTCACCCTTATGTTCATCCAAGTTTGTATGCTGTTTTTTTTAGTAAAACACAAAAGAAATTTCAAGCACCATTCAAAGTATCATACTAGTTTTTAGGGCTGCACGATAAATCGCATGCGATATTTAATGCGCATCTTGTCAGTAAAGCCATGTCAGATGCGCATTAAATATCGCATGCGATTTATCGTGCAGCCCTACTAGTTTTCCATACTACTTGTGCACTGTTCTTCATAGTATATGAGGAACTGATAAAAAATTCAAGTAATTATTTACTGAAAATCTCTCTCAAGCTTTCTGTTAGGTTGATTGACCAAAAATATTGCAAATAAAATGTCATTATGATGCAAGTTTGAGTAGTGTGCGGAATTTATCATTTGTTTCTAGTTTATATTGGACGTTTGTCTGATTCACCTACAAAATTGCATATCGCTTTAGCAGCCATTCACACAGAACACAAAGATGTAAGGCTGCACGATAAATTGCATGCGATATTTAACGCGCATCTTATCAGTAAAGCCGGTTCTGTAATCAGCGGTAAATCTCCATCACGTGCGTGCTTTCACATTGAGCAGCATTAACTACACAGAGCCGTTGTTCACTGACGAGCTGTGCAAAACCACGTTCGATTACAGAACCGGCTTTCTGACAAGATGCGCATTAAATATCGCATGCGATTTATCGTGCAGCCCTACAAAGATGCAAAACGCCGGGCAATGTAATAAAAAAAAAAACTACTAAAGGTCTTCTTTTTTGTTGTTAGAACACTGTCGAGGGTGAGATGCTGTAAAAGACTTGAGTGCGGCGGTCAAACATGTCTATCTAATGTATGCTTACATAGAAAACTATGGAAAAACCGTGTCTGTGTTGAGTAAATAATGACAGAATATGGCATTTTTGAGTGAACAATTCCTTGAAGTGGCTTTCACATAATGATTAACAGCAACAAAAAGACCTGAAGTAATTTATTGTCACTGAGAGTTACCAGTTTGTAGTGACGTGAGTGACAGTGACCGCTGGCATTGCGAGCAGCTTTATGTAAATGAGCAGTGGTGCGATTCACAGCTGGAATGGAGACCATGAACCACTGGCTGATACAGTTGAATGCAGAAGTTGAGTAGGAACTCGTGCTAGAAACTAATAGTTCAGCAAGCCAAATGAAATTCAAACTAACCACTACTGCAATTGACATTTTGTGATTGGGAATGACATCAGCACAGATCACATGGGCAAGATAAGAATGCAGTGCTTAAATAGATGGATATGATTTCACATAACATTGGTGGAAGCGGTATACAACTAAAGTTCTCTCTCTGGCCTGTCTGCGTTTTAATTATTGTCCAGTTTTTATGTATTTTATCTAACAGATTTTTCTTACACTATTGATGATTTCATAGTTAACAAAGAAGGAAAAGCTGCTTTGCATTGCATTTGCATGAGTTTTCCCCACAAGGTCTCCATGACCAGCATCCTGTTTTACATGCAAAACACTGGGAGGGATATTGTATATTGTTCTCTAAAAAGCACATTTCTAAATTGTTTTGCTGATATGAGAGAATTACACCAAGCAGGATCAAAATTTCCTTTCCAGTAGGGCTGCAAGATATTGGAAAAAACTCACATTGCGATATTTAGTTTTTCTGCGATATATATTGCAATATGAAAAAACAAATCACCAGATGAATTGAATAGCTCTATTTGGGGAAAAAAATAATCAATGATTGAGGTGATTTTGTAGGTGAGTAAATCAACATAAAAAATAAACAAATTACAAGCATAGATAAATATAATAGAACAAGGATACAAATGAAATAAAAAGTGCTTTATATTTTTCAGGTAATCTAACAGTATTCAGGTACAGAAATTGAATAATCAAATGTAAAATAACACTGCATAGTCTTCACTGTATAAATTAAATCCAATAAATCTGTGTTAAAGCTACAAAAGTGATTTTTCTCTACATTTTGTTTGATTGACTTTCATGACACAGAAAGCCTCAGGAACATTAAACTGCTGTGAACCAATATACTGTTACACATCCATTTTCTTTCTCAATTGTTAACCTTCACCTAAGCCATAAGCAACTGTGTTTACAAGGATACTTGCAGAGACGTGCATTTTGACATAATTTTGTGCGTACGTGTCATTTCAGGCACAAATAGACACGGAAGTGAACGGAATTCAGTGTTCATGTTAGTGCTGGGCGGTATGACCAAAAATTTATATCACGGTATTTTTCAAAATTATACCGGTTTCATGGTACATGACGGTATTTTTTTTAGGGCTGTGTATCACCAGCAAAGTCACGATACAGAGGCCACGATACGATACGTATCACAATACATGACTGCACTGAATTTCACCTCAGCAGAATTTAGAAAAACAGCTGTTTATTAAACACTGCTTACTATAGTGACATTTCTAACTATTGGCAGAGTTGACCTGCATTATGAAGGGCCTCCATAACTGTACCACAGTACAATATAGGTAATTGCATATGTTTCATGTTTACATTGTGCACTCCCCACCAGGTACAATATTCTGATTGTTTGCATCTTGTTTTTAAGCCCATAAATAATAATGTACTTGTTCTAATAAATGTATATTGTAATGTACTCATTCTAATATATTTAAAAAATAATTTA